CCTCAGCTTCTTTACATCTCAGTATCATTAATGTATACATTTTAATGAGCTGGTTTTTTTAATTTATATTTACAAATCACCTTCACACCCAACCAGACAGAAATACAAAACAGTACTAATTATTGTATTCAAAAGTCCAAAAACAGGATCTCAAAGTGAGTGTAAAGTGCTTACAGCACACACACAGCAGTTAAAGGCACATTATGCAAGATTTTTACCTTAATATAACAGCTTCAAAGTCATTTCGATGGTAAACAAACTCGTAGTATAGCGAATTATCCCGATAGCAAAGAAGGAGAGGGACGCCGTTGGCAGAACCAGCAATGCAAGTCTGAAAGGTGGCGTCCCGCCAAATCTCGCGAGAATCATGAATTGCTTTACGGCACGATGTCACATACATCAGTGACATAAGAAGCAGCCTCAATGGAAGACACTAGCAGGCATTCACTCAGACGTTACCTGGTCAGTAGACATCTTCGGAGTCTATCTTTGCCTGTTCGATGTCCGATGCTTCCATCCTACCGAACATGTACAGGCCTTGAGTGCAGAGACGCAGAGCCGTATATAGAGACGGCTCTGGTGAGTGGTATTTACGAAAGTTAACATTAAATACAAGCAGCGACTCTAGGGGTAGCTGTTTGACAAAACCGGAAAACTGCATAGCATGCCTTTAATACAAACTGTGCTGGCTGGCATTCATTATCTTTTACTTGTCAACTAATGTCTGTCACAACTGACTGAGAAAACTGTGTGCTTGAACTCCTTAAAGTACTTACTCGAATATACAAAAACAAAATTTGTGATACGTTGTTTAAAATGTCAAATTTCAGACATTTCCTGTAACACTACGTTTACAGATGATTCACACCATCCTTGCATTCCCAAATAAGTTCAGGTCATACTAAAAAAAAAACCAAAAACGATAAGATGTTGCTTCATGGATCTCTCATAGGGGAAATTCAAATTTGCACAGCAGTGCAGGGAAAGTAGTGCAAAGAGTGAAGAAAGAGAATAAAACAATACAGCACAATATCCTGTAACAGTTATCAATTCCAGTTATCCATATGGACCATATTCACTATATATTTGTATTTGTATTTTATTATATTTGCTGTTTGTACTACATTTTCCCTGTTCTAACTTCAATTACTCGTATGGGGAATCAAGAGAGGAATATCTTATCTTAAAATAAAGATATATACACTATATGCAATACAGTAGAATATGGTAAGTCTGTGTATCTATATAAGTAGTAGTAGTAACTATAAAAACTATATATATATATGAGTATAATAAATATAGTATATGTGTTTCAAATCTATACTGTTTTATTTCAACGGGTACATCTCAACAAACCCCCACATTCTCAATATCCCCCCCAGCTGACTCTTTTAAAGGATCTTTAGGGTTGACACATAGGCTACCGGAAGTTTTCTTTAAGGAATGGCCTGAGGGTTCGCTACTTCCCTCCGGCGTATACCGAAATCCCGCTCTGGTGGGCGGAGTCAGCAGCAAACTGACAGACCGTCGCTGGGGATGGGAGTACGTGAGTCGCCGCTGTTTATTATGGCAACCGAGTGTGCTGCGTTATTTCCTCGACTTGCTCCGTCGGCGTCTCTTGCGTCCAGCTCGAGTATCCTGGGATGAATAACGAGCGCAACCGTGGGCAACAGATAGCTAGCGGTGTCCTCTGCAAAGTATGACCCATCAGATGGCGTATAAAAGAGGTCAAACCGAAAGTGACGCTGGTCATTTTGCTAAATTTAGGATTATAGGAGACGTTAGTGTTGTGGCTACTTTTACTTCACCTCACGTATTAAATGTCTTCACCTAGAAGAAGCACTTCCGCGTTGTGTGTTATCGGTTCTCGGTTATAAATAACTGCATACCGTGTGTGTGTTTGTGTGTGTGTGTGTGTGTGTGTGTGTGTGTGTGTGGCGTTTTTTTTAGCTACATTTAAGCGGTTACACACGTATTAATCTTTCGCTAAGGTCGAGAGGAGATTGTAGGTGCTTGTGAAGAAGCACTACAACAAAACACTATCCTGGGTCTGTGCAAGGCATGAAGAGGAAAGCTAAAGCTATGGGTACAACTCAGAGCTCAGATTCAACCTCAAGACGGAGTGACAGTGCGGGGACGGACCCCTCAACGTCGGGACAGGTAGAAGTAAGTGTTTGACACTGCTGACAGAGCTGCACCTGGCTGCAGTAGAAAGTAAAAGTGACTGGATTACAACCATACCACCGTTTCATGTGTCTGTAAATGTACTAATATACAGGCTGTTTGGTTATAAACTTTATCTGACTTTATGAGTTTGTTATGTTTCATGTTTGAAGCATGAATGACTCACTTTCACCTTAGAAGGGAGACAATAACATAAATCCCTCAAAGTAAAAAAAGAGCTGTTTAATTCTATCACTTTTTGTTTGTGTAATCCTGATATAAAATCCTGATGTAGGTTAGTTTAGATAATGTGATTGTGGAAACAGCAGGGTGCATTAGTCCAAAGTCGGTGTTTGTCTGAAAACTTCTTATCCAGAGTTTTAAGCTTATCTTTGTCCTCTCTGTTCTTGTCAGCTGTTACCTGTCCCTCTGGACATCGTGGAGGAGATCTTCCTAAATCTTCCTTACCACCAGGTGGTTTGTATTTGTCGGTTAGTGTGCCATCAGTGGAAAGAAGTGGCCGACAGTGAATCTTTCTGGAAAGAGAGGTGCAGAAGAGAAGGATATCGCCTCCGTGACCCTTTCAAAATCCCCGAAGACTGGAGGTTGTTTTATTTCCTGTGCAAGCAAAGAAGAAATCTGCTCAAGAATCCAAGAGCAGAAGGTAAGAAGCCGCAGAGCTTGTAACTCACACTTTATCAGTCAGTCATTATTACCACATCATTTCTCTATCAACCCTCTTCGTTGTATAGATGAAATGAACAACTGGCACATATTGGAGAATGGTGGTGATAACTGGAAAATAGAGGACCTTATGACGCCACATCCAAATGAGACAGTCAAGAAAAACTTTGTGACCTCTTACGGGTGAGTACTAACCATCAGTGGTTGGGGAAACACATGGCTACTATTAGATATACTACATTTCTATTATGTAGTCGCTAAAACTCTGTTTTTCTGCAGAATGTGCAAGAAGATGCAGCTGATTGATTTGGGGATGGAAGGTTACAACCAATCGTTTATGGATCAATTCCAGCCAGACATCAGAATTTCTGATTGGTGAGAAGAACACATACTCTCATGACTCTTCCTAAACTGATGTAGAGCTCGCCAATCTTCATTTGCGTCCTGTGTGTGTGTGTGTGTGTGTGTGTGTGTGTGTGTGTACAAACAGTTATTACATGTAAGCAAATAATAACAAAACATGAGCTCGGAGGGGCTACCTTTCAGAAATGGTTCCAGAAAGATTGATCAAAATTTAAAAAATAGATAATAATGAACATACAAAGCTCATGTAAGTCCCAATAAATACCATGTAAAACTGGGGGCAAATGAAGATACACATGCTTAATAAAATGGCGTAGCTTTTTTACTATTACAGACAGTACTTCATTCAACTATAAATGAAGGAGGCCACTGTTTGTCCTCAGTTACAGCTCTAGCTTTTGTTTTTTTATACTGTGGAATGAGACACTGTGTGATTTTACAGTAAAAATAAACGTATTTACTATTCCCACAGCACAGAACATATGTTTGTCCCTGGGGATTAACGTAAGATTCAAATTAAATCTCGATTAAAAGAAATATCCAAAACATATTGATGAAAACTTACAGGAATGTGTTTCTTCTGCCACTGTAATTTAAACCGAGTTGCTGGTACCTGATCCACGTGCCCGTGCTTGTGCCTTTGTTACATTAGGTATGCACCACGATGGGATTGTGGCAGTGAGTACAAGATCCATGTAGCGCTGCTGAATCAAAGAAAGAGACCCATCAAGGCGTTTTCCCCTGACACTATTTACTTTGAGCAGTGGAACGATCAGAAATGGAATCAGGTATGTACAGAGGCATTAATTAATACGATGAAGTTCAGAGGAGGTACAAAGCACAAGGACAACTGTAGACTTACTGATGTTTATTTTTCAGATAACCCATGTATTCAAGAACTATGGACCAGGAGTGAGATACATCCGTTTTACCCACGGAGGCAAGGACACACAGTTCTGGGCAGGATGGTATGGAATTCGTATTACCGACAGCTGCGTTGAGATATGTCCAGCGATGGACACGTAGTTCTTTGGGATTCATCTAATGCCTGCTTCCTGCCTTTGCCAGAACTTGCAAAATTGCACAGTCTTGTTTGCCTTATCTATCTATCTATCCCTCATCCCTCTATCTGCAGCCATTTTACATGTTAAACAAATGTTTTTTCTTGGATCCTCATACACATACAGTATGTTTGCAGGGAGCTCATTTTAGTACCAAGGAGCCATTATGGTTCCCTGGGAACAGAGTTCAGTTTGAGAACAGCCATAATATCTTTCACCTTCGATATTAAACATTCCTTATTTTTAATCAAAACGTACACTTGAGCTTGAATTAAATTACCTGCTGTGTTTTCGTACACCAACTGTAATGGTAAGTGGTAGAAAAAGATGCCATATACATTATGTATACAGTATATAGGCTTCTCTGTGTATTCTTTAAGGTGGGGTGATTATAATGTGTAAGTTATATGAAGGAATCAGTTCTGACATCCATGATAAGGCCGGAATGAATGCTACATGGCCTTGGAAAAGAAAATTCAAAAAGATGATCTCTCAGCTCACAAGGGAATCTGTCTATGAATGCTATTGTAATACTACAGCATTACTGTTTGACAACCCAGCCTAAATATAATATTCTTTGCACTGTTATGTAATGTGTAAATTATGATGCTAAAGAATTGTAAAACTGTTTTTTGTTGCAGAATGTTTTATTTTGGATTTCCTCGCACCACGTCATCTTTTTAAAAGTTTGTAACCTGTATTTACATAACCATCAAGTCAGACAACATGTAGTATTTGAAATTAGGTTTATTCGTGTTAATACTGGTTACATTGTGATGCAAGATACAGTACAAATTTGATGTCAAATTGAATAAAAGAAACTAATTTTCTTAACATTTTCCTGGTTACTTTCAGTTTCATCTGGGATCTCTGCATCGCAGTATCAGTAATGCACACATTGTATTCAGTCAATAAGTTATGAGTTATTTTCACTGTATTTATAAATTCAAGCCCATCATTCAGGCATGGACATAGCAAAAGACAAATGCAAATAGTGCTAGTTCAGTCACTCAGAAATATTCACAGGGTCTCAAACAATGTATTCTAGGAACCGTCACAATGACTTCATGATGCTGCAGCGTAGCAGCAAGTATCTTCAGTTTACAAAATTCAGTTTATTAACCTGGGGTTATCAGCTGAAACACTCCTACAAAGTTTAAACATTGCAACTTTTGATACGCATTCATCACCTTCTTGTGACCTCACTTATGTAACAAAATTAATGACTGGCAAACTTTTGTGCTCCAACTCCTCACGTGTCGTTACTTAAATTGACAATGACTATTTCTGATACGCGACTTCCAAAAGGAGTGTAAACATTGTACTTAAAACTCAAATTCCCACTACTGCGTCGGCTTCTGTGGAGCTCTACTCTGACAAATGTCAATTTATTGAAGTCTTCTTTTGGCAAACTAGAACTATGGTGGATCATAGCCTAGAAATGTCATTTTATGTCAAATATTACTTGGATCTGCCCGGAGGCTATGTTAACATTGAAAAGGAAATAATGTAAAAATACAGCTAGCTTCTATCGGAAAAGTATGTCTGGAAAAGAAAATATTTGAGTTCTATGACTTAAGCAGGATTGATATAGCTAGACACTCCACCAGTAATGGAAGAATGACACAGTGTCAACCAAATGCAGTTTTGTGCTCCGGGGTTGAACATATAGATGATACAAATGATAAACTTAAGGTAATTACATGAAAAGTAAAAAAAAAAAAAAAAAAAAAAAACATATTTAGGACATAACACATAATTTGAGCATCTCACTAACTCATCATTTTCAGCTTGTTGATGTTTCACAAGGCAGTCGATTAAACAGTTCTATTAATTAACATATCACTTCATAGTCCGTTATTCTGGAACACTTGTGCACAATGAACTCTAAACATAATGTGGTAAAAACTGCAACGTCATCCAACAATTTCACCTACAGTCTGTTGATGTATTAAGTCGAGCGTTCACGTCATGTAAGACGATTTCAATTGCATCCAATCATCACAAACGGCATCAAATGTTGCTCAATCTTAAAATTGCATTCAACACATTGGATATGTATTCAGGTTAAGTCAGTCAGAAGGCAAATATTTCATGATACTTCAACTTATGTTGGAATGTGCTTGAGCAGCAAACCTCTTCAGTACTGTTAACCTAGATATGGAAACTGTTGTGGAGAAGGCTGCGACGAAACTTAGAGCAGAACACATTTACGCCTTTTCTTAGGTTCAGGAGGCTCCAGGGCAGCCAGTATTGCCTCATCAAACACATTCTTTAATCCTTTCTGTGGAAATAAAATATTAATATTCAAAACAGGGCTGTGTTCCAAATACAAATTAACATTTTCAAAGAACTAATTGCAAAAAAAAAAAAAAAGGCTGAGTAGAAATGGAGCAGGGCGATCAAAATTTTTCCTTTATTCAAATAACATTATACAAGACTCTCCTCATGATCAACTTGTCTGAGTAAAGACAAAAAGCCCATGGAAATGTTTGATGCTGCAGTAGAAAAAAATGTTATTACTGTCTAAGACAGAATGTAGCATAAATATTCTTTGTAGGTTACAGCTGATGCTGAAGAGCTCAATACTGAGATAATAACAGAATGTCAATTTAAAAAACAAAAACAAACTCAGTCATGTACAGTTACACAGACTTGCACACAAGTTGCTGACAGCAGAAGGAAGAATTAAAGATTGGCACTCTTGTCATATCAGGCAGCATGGATAATTGTGATTAGGCCAAGTTGAAAAGAAAGCACACATGAACAGAAGGAAAAAAAGTTAATGGGCACAAAGTTTTAAAGTTTAAAAGAGCGTTGTGGTTATTTTAGTGACAGACATTTCTTTACAATGAGTAAGCAGCAGACGATCGAGAGGCAAAGCAAGATGCAAGAAGACATCAGAACAAACAGCATTTTCTCTTTCTTTGAGTTTCAGGGGGCTCTAAAGCGGCTAAGATAGCCTCATCAAATACGTTCTTCAGTCCCCGCTACAGAAAGAGGAAAAGAAGGGAGAAAGACAGGCACACAACCCAGAGTTAGATGGAGTTTTTAGCTAAATGCTGTCAGCAAAATAACAGGCAAAATACTTCCACCCATGTTAGGAAACTGACATTTAAGCATGCTTGCCACACCAGTTTTAAATGGGAGGTCTTACCTGTGTTAGGGCTGAGCACTCAACATACTTGACTGCCTTAAGGTCGCGAGCAAGTTTTTCTGCTGTCTCGGGGGTGATGGGCTTCTGTTTGTTCTTAGCTAGCTTCTCCACTGTGGAGGGGTCATCACGCAGGTCGATCTGAGTGCCTACCAACAGGAATGGAGTCTTGGGACAGTGGTGAGTTATTTCAGGAACCCACTGGAGAAATACACAAAGACAAAAACACTCATTACCAAAAGACAGGTACACTCATCTATAATTTATGCTACATGCTATGAAGTCAATTCATGATGATGAAAAACTGATTGTTGTTGTTGATTGGTGGATAAGGAGAAGGGAGGTTACAGGTTTTTGATGGAGGATAAAAGGAAGGAAGGTATTTTCCTTTAGTATTAACCTTTTTTGTCTTGTGCCAGACTTGTTAAGGAACGTCTGCTCTTGCATATTTATATGAATTATTATTACTGTTATTATTTTGTTATGGTATATAATTTGGTCACAAAAAATAATTTGTATTTTGATCACATTTCTAACCACCATGTCCAGGACTTCCTATTTTTAGAGGGCCATTAAACAAAACAGGATCCACAGTTAGCCAGATATTTCAGAAATGTTCCACATCAGCATGTGTGACATATTCACAAACCTAACATTCATGGTTTTGTTTTACATATTTGAAACAGTATGGCAAGGCTGCACTTTATAGTTTTTATGTTTACGTGGCTTTTTGAAAGACTTCACACTTTTATTTAGACCATTATCTGTGACCGTAGGTTGAGAGATTGCCTGTTAAAAATGCCTTCCACGTTCAAATAGAAGTATCAAGGAGGAGAAATACTGAACAGTACATATTGCATTCAGAGTCAACACCCTGAAAAACATGTATCAGATGAACCATTATTTCAGTAGTTTGACAACAACCTATCTACAAAGTTTAATGTTATTTTAAAGAGTAGGTTGTCACTTTTGTTATTATTTTTCTTACTATACTTTGCTATACTACTTTATAATCCTCTAATCCCAGAGTAATACAGAGCAGAATATGATGGAGTATGCCATGAAGGCAGTTTAATTTCATATAGTTAGAAGTAGAGGGTGTTTGCAGGTGAGCAACTCCACTGCTTTCAGATAAACACTTTGTACTCACCTTTTCTTTAACATTCTCAAATGAGGAAGGTGAAACAACTGAGAAACAAACTAAGAAGACATCTGTCTGTGGGTAGCTTAGTGGTCGTAACCGGTCATAATCCTCCTGACCTATAGAGAGATCACAGTACAAATTAGCTTAGCCCTGTAACAACTTATCTGAATTCAATCTGGAGTGCAATTAAATTGAAAGAGTAAAACATAACCTTACCTGCTGTATCAAATAAGCCAAGGGTGTATGGTTCACCCCCAATCATTACAGTTACTGCATAGTTGTCAAAAACCTGTGTGAAAAGAATAAAGTGAATATCATGGCGTGAGTGCTTTACTTTCTTAACCAAAGTATGACTGTCTATCAGCATGCATCTGACTGTAAAACCACACCGGAGTTACTTACTGTTGGTACATATTCAGAGGGGAATTTGTTGGTGGTGTATGAGATCAATAGGCAGGTTTTTCCCACTGCTCCATCACCCACCACCACACATTTGATAGTCTGCATCTTTGTGCTTTCTGATTCTGCTGGCAATACCGCTGGCTGCTGAGAGAGATGATAATTAGGACAGTTAATATTTTAGATCGTATTAACATGAACACTTACACTGCTAATAACAGCTCTGATTAAGCATGGGGTCTAAGGGGAAAGGCTGTGTTTTGTGTCACACCCCATCACCACTACTGTCTAATAGGCTAACATTAGCTAACGACAACGTTATTCACTTGCTTATTCGCTCAATTACCTGGCTAACTACAATATGTGCGATTAAGCTAAAGGGTTAATCACCCAATATGACATTATCTACTTAAGTAAGGAAAATAAAAATGTGTTTGCGTGCATCGGTTGGCAAGCTACGCTAACGCAGCGCTAGCAATCACTAGACAATGCTAGCTAGCTTAGCAAGCGGCCGGCTAATACAGGCTCGTAAAACTAACGATGGCTTTGAGGCCGAAGCAGGAGACCAATGTTCAGACGTGTATTTGTTATCTAACGGCACACGGAGATGTCAGTAAATGTTTGAGTTACGTACCAATGTCCCTCCGTATCTCCTCTAGTTAACGTTAGCTATGTCTTTCGCCGGGCGTTGGCACCAGCGAGCAGCAACTTGCAACATTCAGAGCGGAGCTTCAAAGTCCCGATTCCCACTACGACTGTCAAGCTGGATAGAATAATCCCGGACGTCCCCTTCACAGTAAAACATTAGGCGTGCGTTGCGACATCCGACGCCATGTATTTTAAGAGATAGGTACTAAAGTAGATGTTAAAAATGTAAATATTGCATCTACAGTTGCTAGTTTGAGGTATTTTCCCCCTGTGTGTAGTTTTTGTAGATTTTATTCATACTTGTTATCTCTCTGTTCTTTTATTTTGAAGGATGTTTTTCTCTGGTAATGGTGGCTGGTCTTGACACCAGTTCCTGGAGAGGTTCCTGCAGCAGAAGTGGTGACATCACCTCCTAAATCCCTCCACCTTGCATCCTCACCTGAATCTGCTCTCACACAGTGCACGAGCAGGTAGAAGGCCATTCAGTATGTTAACAAAAAAGACTGATAGATGTACATCTGATAGATAGACAAGAGAAATTAAGTGATTGATGTTCTACCTGTGCTGGTCTTCAGAGGCCAATACATTAAACTCGTAGAATACAATACTATACACATACACACACAGGGTTCATGAACATGCACATGTGGAGAGATGGTGGAGTGATGGGCTTCCACCTATTAGCGCCACAGGAGCAGTTGGAGGTACAATACCTTGCGCAAGGTTACCTCGGCAGTGCCCAGGAGGTGAACTGGCAGCTATCCAGCTACCAGTCCACACTCCACACCGTGGTCTGTGCTGGACTTGCACCGGTCATCCTCTGGTTCCCAAGCCCAAGACTGCATGGGACTGGCATAAAGTGGGTGTGTCTGTAAAGGGGAGACTGGTCGGTTCCCATAGAACCTAATAGACCTTTTTCACAGCAACCACTTTGACATGAAATAGAAGCAGTACCGCAGGTGTTACCAATTTTAAACTAATTAAGGTTCTGTTTCATTCAGGTCAAAAATAGTCAGGGTGCTGCTGTTTTACATGTTGGCTCGCTGGAAAGGCTCTGCTATACTAAGAGCCTGTCCACACGAATACGCGGCCTCACCCAATACGATGTCGTTTCGAAAAAATCGTTTCCAGAAATATCTGCGTCCACACGGATCCACTGAAAATTACCCAAAACGCTGTAGTACATATGCCAGGCCTGTATGTGGCGATGTGACGCCGCCACACCAATACAGTAAAACCGGCAGAGAAGCCATGGAGCATGCAGTGTTTACAAACAAGTAGTAGTAGTCTGCCATTGTTGTTGTTGTTGTTGTTGTTGTTGTTGTTATGACGCGTCTAGCGGCGGCGGCTAATCCGTTTTTGCCGTCCAGACGACTCTGGGCAATCCAGCGTTTTCGGATTTTCCCACTCTGGGATCCGTTTTAAAAAAATACCGTTTTCACACCCTGAAAACGCCGTATCTGTCTGGACACGAGGCCGATACGATAAAGTATTTATCCGGATTCAAAAAACACGTATTCGTGTGGACGGCCCCTAAATGGAATGGAGGCTTAATTAGTAACATTGGTAACACCTGTCTCCACTATTCTATGTCAAAATGGCTGCTGTGAAAAAGGTCTGTTTTCATTCAGATATCTTCAGATAAGTGAGAAATTTTTTCCATTGCCAAAATTGAGCCTAATGTAACTTTGAAACGTTATTTACCCCCCTTCTTGACAAGCTAACTTGACATGGTTGGTACCAATGGTCTCTTAGTTTCATATGATACCATACTTCATAATAGCTTTAAAACCTGAGAGGACGTCTGCGTCCGGTGTGATCGTTCCTTCACCACTTTTCAACTTCATTATTTGTACATGTTTTGTCTTTTAAAAGCAGCACAAGAGTTGGGCCTTGATTTACATTTGGAGGGATTTTTATTCTGCATAGCTTTTAGATCTTTGGAGTGAGCCTACAACACTGACTGATCCTTTAAAACCCTCTAAACAGGTGGTTAAATGCAAAAGGAGGACCATCCCCTATGAATGTTCATATAAGATCTACAAATGAATTAAATAAAAGCCAACAGCCTCAGTTCCCCAGAGGGGCTAATTTTAAGCTGATTAGATATTCAAAAGTTAGACCCAAAGTTATCTTAGGCCCTGGCACTGAAATTAATGAGGTTTTAATCATTTAAATGCTAAGAAAAAAAGGAGTCTGAAAGCCACTTTTCACTTGGTTTATTTTTCAGTTTAATTCACACACTGATAAAGTGTCCAGTGCAGGAATAATTTTGTAGCCCCAGTACAAGCGTGTTTATAATTCACCCATGATTCAAAATTACGGTTTTGCCAAAATCAGTCATAAATGTTTGAGCTTTGGCGTTTAAATTGTAGGTGTGGCCATATTTTCCTTGCAGTCTTTATCCTCCACACAACAATATGTGTTGATACCAAACAACACAATATTAAAATGAAGAGGATCCAACGCAGAACCGTCCACCAACTAGACAAAGAAAAAGATTAACTGTGATCAGAATTATTGTTGTACATGGAATTTAAATGTTCATATGTTTTCTATGTATTCAGTTGTATTAACTGTAATGTCTCTCAACAGTAAAATGGAAATCATAGCGTATCCTCACATTATTTCCTCTTGTGCCATCGGTGATGAACTGGTTGGTGTGGTGGTGGTAGTTGTTATCACTGTGGAAAATAACACTTTGCATTAAAAATCAACAAATGACATATACTGACTTATCAACCCTGTCTCCTAGTGCAATATTTGCCATCATATGGAGACAATTAGTTGATTTTAGCTTGGAAGTTAGAGTCAGTCATATGAGCTTTTGTCTTTCTAGGTCAGCAATAAATGAGCACTATTAAAGCAAGAAGCTGTTGTAGCATTGTATTATGTTGAAGTGTCTGAGCTTACCCAGCTGAAGTATACCTGTGTGGGAGACGCAGAGCCTGACACCGGCGTAGATGTTCGTTCCACTTCTGGCAATGACACACCAGTACATATCCTCATCACTTTTTCTGAGAGAAGTCATAGTTACAGTGAAGACGCCTGCCTCCTTATCATCTGTAATGAAGCTTCTGTTACTTGGCCTGTTCTTGGGTGTTTTTACCACTATCCTACACAGCCTATATATCTTTCCTTTGCACCAGTACTTTGTGTTTTCTCTGAACTGATGGTCGTACTGACAAGGGACTGTCACAGATCCTCCGTAGGCTGCTGTTACCACCTCTGGAGCCGACAGCTGAACTGAGTCCACTGCATGGTTTGTAAGCCAGAGGAGACAGAGAGCTGGAGCTGCAAAATTCAAAAAGGATTTCACATGATATAAGTTAATTACTCTTTCCAAGTTACTCTGCCATTACACAGTTAAAATATTTGAAAAAAGCAGACATTACCATAAAAGAAGCCAAGCAATATCCTTGACATGATGGGAATGGAGAAAACAATGCAAAGCAGAAGCAAAATGTGCAAAATTTAAAGGGTTCCTGTTATTTCTTTCAATGTTGTGTAATCAGGTGGTTTTATGTGAAATCATGGAGTTAACAATGTTCAGCTGTGTAGGTTTGTGTTTGTGTGGCCATTATTGTATTGACTTGCAAAGAGAATTCCACAGTTCTAAATGTTTCTCCTGTGTATTTTGCCCTTCTGTATGAGCATAAGACACTGGAGAGGGGCAACCATAAGCCCAGTTAATTTATTTAAACAGCAGGTGGCACTAAAGACCACACTGTCAGATGATATATGTTTATCCATCTGTGTTGTTTTCTTCCCAGGTCATCAACTCCATATAGCGCAGCCTAATCACACTTTGTAAAATGTTTTTAAAATGCATTTTGTAGATATAATTTGCTGTGGGACAAACAATATTATCTTTTGGCCCATTGCTTCACATCCATTGCATTTGCCCTCTGGCTTCCGTTCATCTAATTGGATTCTTTGCCATTTTGTGCCACTTTACATTTTTAATAGCTTAATAATGATGTAACTGATGCTATGCATTATTGTAAAAGATTATGCTTTCAGGTTTCTTTTCATAAGCTTTGATATTTAATGTGCATATCACATCCACAAGATTTGACTTTGCTGCCTTCTGAGGTGCGGTTCATCATTGCAGACATGAGTTGACTTTATGTGTTTGATTATGTCACAGTTTATGTTGTATTTTGTTTTTTTAATGTCATCTTGAACTTCATTGATTACTGTTTCTCAGTAATAGCTAACAAATTGCTCTTCTATAGTATCTATAAGAATAACAAACAGAGATTTTAAAGGGTTTCTGTCCAAATTGAATTGGCATTGCCAAAAACTAGTCATATATAGTGTTCATGTAGGTGTAGCAATTGTAATCAGGAAAACCATTAAATTACAGATACCACAAGGCAAGACATAATTGTGTAATCTGAGCTGATTGTGTTAGAGACTTGTGGTGTGAGACTATAACATAGTTCCCATTTAAATAAACATGTACTTTTTATTACAATGGAAAGAGTGAAAAGTCTTGTGTTTTTTTGTTTTGTTTTATTTTTAACTCTCTTTGTGTATTATATATCTGTTCAAACCATTGTTGTATCTGTAAAATCACTACTGTTTTTTAAATAAAAAGTAGACTATACAGTATACTTGATGATGAGAAGATTTTCATAGAACTGAAAACTGGAATGACGTTATTTGGTGCGTTTAGGTCAACGGATGTAGGAAAAAACAGAACTATGTTTGTGACACATGCACTGGTGATAAATAAGCAGAACAAAGTTACAACACCCATAACAAAAAATCTACGTTTGAAACCCTCTTTTGTAACTATGGCTTACTTAACCTATTAAACCTCTGCATAGGGTAGTTTTATTGGATAATTGTGGCACAGAAACAAGACAGAGTTCAGAAAACAGTTACTTTCACATGAATTCAGGCTCCTATTGTTTGAAGTCAGCATATAGCATTCTTTTCTTTTTAACTGAGCAGATGTATAATGCACATGTATGGTAAGTGACAGATTAGTCCTTGATTTGTACTTCAGGGAAATAATTCTCAAACACTGAATGAACTTTCCTGAGATGATTAAATGCCCTTGGTGAAAACTTAAATTGGACTGTGTTCACTTTAAGTGAATCAGTGGGTAAATGAAACATCCCACCTTTAGTCCCCTTGACATTCGTTTGAGGTCTTTCTTTAATTTTTGAGACATGGCATGAAAAGCAGAAAGGTTTGTTTTGCAAAAGCAAATGGCATTACTCTGCTTCTAGGCTGTGGCTCAGCCAAAGTGTTTTCTGCTGACACAAGCATATCTTTCTTTAAATATTACATAAACTGTTCAAGATAAAGAAGGCTGCATTATAATGGAAGCTAAATGATTAGATAAGTTCCCTACTTATCATGTGAATGCTTTTGATTTTATGCAGATCTCTCTTCATCACATATCACGATCCTCTTTTCAGCATGATTAGAGTTGTCAAACATATTTATCATCACACATCTGTAGTCTAGACATTTTTTTCCAAGGCAGTTTTTCCTGATGTTTATGTTAGTTGGTTTGCTGCTGAACAGAGGCAGTAAATGTACTGCATGACATGACATATTTAATAAGATATCATAGATTCATGCACTGTAGTCAAATCACAAATTATTTGCTGTTTTCCATTTGTATATAGATATCACTTTAGAAGATAAGATTTAACATTTCCATTTTTCTTTCTGATTTAAACTTTATTACAGTTTTGGTAGTTCAGGCATAAATGGCCAATATAAACATTTGTGACAAATGTTCTTTTGGTGTTTTGTGTAACTTTTAAAACAAGCCTTAGGCATATTTCTTGTAATGTATTTGCGTTGCATTAATGCTGGGTTTGGATAAATGAGTCCTTCACACAAGGAGAAAGTGCGCCTGTATATGCATGGAATCGTGATAAGTAATCACATATTACTCCTTAAGTGTAGCACATTTGATAATCTACTCTGAAACAATCTTTTGCAAATAAACACCTTTTTGGCGGATGTCCAATTTTTTTTAAGGAATAAGCAAACTGTGTGTATAAAAGTAAGTGCACCTGTTAGAAGACGTCCTTGTCCTCCGGTAGTCATGGGAAAAGTACTGTTTTTGACGGGTAAGTCAGTTCTTTTGAAACAATTTCTCTTCTATGTGCAGCAGATGGTCTCCTGGTAATGTATGTTTCCACAATTTGGATATACAGTATATAGCATCCATTTTCAGGAGACAGTTTTGATCAGCTTCTCTTTTTGCTCAAAGGTAACCATGTAACATTTAATTTTACAGCTCTGGCCCTGCTGCTGCACGCGCAGCTTGGTAAGCAATTATATAAGATTCACTGTGCATGTGTATTTTCTTTTTATGGTCAGGAATTGCATTTGATCATGTCTTTCTTTTTAATCAAAGGCTCATCCTTCATACTGTCATGCTACTTCACAAACTGGGCGCAGTACAGACCACCTCCAACCATTTTTATGCCCAATGACATCGACCCATGCCTCTGTACTCATCTTCTGTATGCCTTCGCCACCATAAAGAACAACCAGCTGGCCACCTATGAGTGGAATGATGTGGAGCTTTACGGTCAGTTCAATGCCCTGAAGAACAAGTGAGTCACTAAATATATCTCTTGTTTCTCTTATATAAAAGGAAATAACTCCTATAAAGCACAATCAAGTTTCACTAATAAAGCACAGTGAGCAGTAAGTATGAGTGTTTCTATTTGTCACTGCAGTGTAAAATGTTTGATTCCTTGGCAGGAATGGCAACCTGAAGACTCTTCTGTCTGTCGGAGGATGGAACTTCGGCTCTACAGGGTGAGATTATCTACAGGTATTTGCAGACCTGGCTCTCCAAACTGTGAAATATTCTGTTTTAACACATTTTTTTATGTTCCCACATTAGCTTTTCACAAATGGTGTTGAGCCCTGCTAACCGCCAGACCTTCATCAACTCAGTCATTTCATTCCTGAGGAAGTATGAGTTTGATGGGCTTGACATTGACTGGGAGTATCCAGCCAACAGAGGAGGCTCTTCTCAGGATAAGCAGTACTACTCTGTTTTCCTGGAGGTTTGTTTGCTACATCGGTTTTCTGCTTGTTTTTTTCTCAGTTTAAATAATTTTTGACCTAACAGCGAATATAACTGTGGGGTTTCTACTGTGTCTTTCGGAATAAAAGATACATAAAAGCAAAGCAACTCACAAACTGCCCATGTCACAAATCATGGATTATGAATCCTGGAGTTCAATTAATACTAAATATCTTATATCTGTTGACATTCAACAGGAGATGAGGGCTGCCTTTGAGAATGAGGCCAAGCAGAGCAACAAGGCTCGTCTTCTGATGTCTGCTGCTGTGTCGGCTGGAAAGGACACCATTGAGTCTGCTTATCAGATTCCCAAGCTCGGCCAGTAAGCATTTGAAGCAATATTTGTGGTGTGTCTTCATCCACAGCATCTTAATGGGTCACAGCTGAATGGAACAACTCTGAATCTCACCCCCTTACTAATACTTTATATACTGTATCAATGTAAACATGCTTGTTAATGTTGGTCCCTTCTTGTTTTTCACACCCAGGGCCCTTGATATGATCAATGTCATGACATATGACTTCCATGGCTCTTGGGATCCCATGACTGGCGAGTGCAGTCCCCTGTTCAGAGGCCCAGAGGACCAGGGTGGTTTCATCTATTTCAATGTGGTCAGTACTTGAACATCACCATGAACAAACAGAGGTCTAATTTACAATAATTAGGCCTTTGTAAACAATATACCTGCATATCCTCTGTAGGTTTACATCTGTAGGCTTTATCCGCAACTTCCACAAAAGCTATCTGGTTCCAGGGCCATGTATATTTTCAGTTTATTTATATTTTTATAAATGTCCTTTTTTTTCCAGGATTATGCCATGAACTACTGGAAGAGCCAGGGAGCCCCAGCTGAGAAGCTGATTGTTGGTTTCCCTACATATGGCAACACATTCACTCTTAGGAACCCTGCAAACCATGGTGTTGGAGCACCTATTGCTGGTGCTGGAACTCCAGGAAAGTACACACAAGAGGCTGGAGAACTCGCTTACTTTGAGGTACACTTTCTTATTATTGTACTAATATTGCTTGAATGTTGATGGTGGCTCAGTGTTAGTTAATATTCTTCTGTATGATTGATAATTGAGCAGGCTGGTTTATATTAAAGACTCCAGATGAAGAAGTGAATTAATTCATTAATGCATTGCCTGGTGAAACTACAGATCTGTGGCTTTTTGAAAGATGGAGCAACTGAGGTTTGGAACCAGGCCCAGGATGTGCCATATGCCTACAAGGGAAACCAGTGGGTGGGCTATGACAACCCCAAGAGCTTCCAGCTCAAGGTAACATGACTGCTCAGAGTTTACCATTTACCAATTGACAGGCCAGTCTGTTGGTTGATATGAGTTACTTCTGGGCTAAACATGTTTCCAAATCTCCATAACCTGTCAAGACTCATATTAAGTACTATAAAATATGAATTGATTGTATTTGATACCGTCTTTCTGTATGTGGAGTAATGCTGCAATTATCAGCAAACACTGTGTCAAGGTCTTCTGACCTTGCAATATTTTATTTGCAATGTTTCTGACCTCAAAATGCTGCAAACGACCCCACCTTCTGGCTGTCTGTAGGTTGACTGGCTGACAAAGAGTAACTTTGGAGGCGCCATGGTGTGGACCCTTGACATGGATGACTACCTGGGCACTTTCTGTAACCAGGGAAAATACCCACTGATTAATGTTCTCAAAAAGGGCCTTAATCTGGAACAAGCATGTAAGACTTTTAATACCTTGATGATCACTGTGTCATCCACATAGAGTTCCCAGAAAAATTATTTGATTAAATAATTAATTTGTGGTATTTTTTTTCAGCCTGTGCCCCACCTGCCACTCCCCTTCCACCAATCGCAGGAATGAGCACAACTAGCGGAGGAAGCTCTAGCGGAGGCTCCAGTGGTGGCAGCTCCTCTGGTGGCGACTCAGGCACCAGTGGCATGAACAGTGGGTTCTGTGCTGGAAAGGCCAATGGCATGTACCCTAACCCAACAAACAAGAACCAATTCTACAACTGCAGCAGGGGCCAGACCTACCTTGATCACTGTGCTTCTGGTTTGGTCTTTGACAGCTCCTGTTCTTGTTGCAACTGGTCTTAAAGTTGAAGTTATAGATTGACCGGTTAACTGTTCAAAGGCTGGATAACTCTGTTTTACATTTGTTCTTTGTTCTCAGGGGGCCAACTTCTCTAAGTACAAAGTCCATCCTTCTGCATTGGATGTTTAACAATGTAAAACCCGAGGCTTTCCTCTTGAGTAGTTAATTAAAAGCAAAGAAAATAAACATTAAATTGTTGCAGGTGTGTTATGTATTTACATTCTTTTCTTTGTTGTCAATTTTAAAATGCGGTGTCAGAATTTCCTCTGTATCAATCAAAACTACTCTATGTTCACATAAAGCACAACTGTTTTAATACACATAGTATACAATATGTATATATCCATGTACATATGTCAAAAGATATGCAAAAACACATAAAACACATAAAAGATTACAATTAAACCTGTATTTAAAGTATTCTGCATGTTATTATTACTAAGCATAATCCTTGTATTATATTTCAAATCCTGATGAAACATAAAACATAACACCGATCCACAATTTGATGACCACTCTCTGTGATTAACAAAACAGAAAAACAACAAGAGTGTGGACTATAACCTCTAACAGTAGCACACTATTTACTTTGCAAATACCGTGTAATTTCCAGCACAATAAAAGTATATTCACAATGTTCATTTGGTAGGTAAAACATCTGAAGTCTCTGATGATAAATTGTTGTAATAATTCATCTCCTACAGTAGCCAGTTAAGGACAAAACACAGCTGCTGTCCCTCTCAGCTGCTCTTGTTTTCCTCTCTCTGTTCTGTTGCGGCGGCTCCATTCTGCTCTGTAGCTGGTTCCTCCACCATGGCGGACTTTTTCGTTGTTCCTATTAGAATGCAGAGTGAGTTAGAGCGGGAGGATGATGGTGAGTATGAAATCAGTGAAAACAACCATTCAGCAGCAGTGTGTGAGGGTGCTGGTTGATGCTGTACCTGTGAGGTAATTTCTGTGCATTCGATGGAACAGCAGGAGCCCAATAAAGACAATAAAACCGATGCAGGCAATTATCATTCCACACAGCAGGAAGCTGTAGCTGCCTTCAGTCTGGATAATCTGGGGATGAGACAGCAACATTAAACAACTGAACATGAATCTAAATTTCCACTGGGCTTGTTTTTTTTGCAATTATAAGCCTATTTCTCTATATCTGCACACACTCTTATTCTATAATAATGAAGATACTCATCAGACTTACTGAGCCAACCACAACCTGCATTACCATCTCCCCCATCCCTGCACTTGTCACCAGGACTGATGTCGCACATCCTGCACAAAGAAATGTATGGTTTATTTCCTCTCCTCGCTTTGAGTCCATTAATGTTATCATTATTGTGCTATAAACACTTCATTATACCCTGATAATCAAGGATGTCTTCAGTATAGGCAAGCATACAGGGAAATATGCTGCTGAGGAAAAGCCCACATAAACAAGTCCCGACAAACAGAAAGATGCTGCTGGTGTAAAAAATAAGCAGCATCAACACAGTAACAATAGCACCTGCCTGTAAAAACAAAGAAAAGAGAGTATTGTCAATTTAATGTTGATATCAGTGTTTGAATTTCATTGAATATGTCTCAGTTATAATGTGATGACACTATAAATCTTTTATTGGCCTTACTATGTTGAACATGAGCAGTCTCACAGGCTGGAAACGATACGAGAGAGGAATGGACAAGAGACGTCCAGCAGTGATCGCTGCCCAAAAAATACTGGCCAGGTAACCTGCTGTTTTATGAGGCAATGACATGGGAGGTGCCACGCCGTAGGTGTACACAAAGCCAGCATACGCACCCTGAAAGGAAAAGGCAGATTCTGTCATGTGCTCTATTTTCTGTGCTTTATGTGAAGCAGATTTTGTATGCATTCATACATTTCCATGAGGAACATAGTGCCTGAAATGCACATCATATTATTTATCTGCACCCCTCACTCACCACAATACCATCGGTCATGAAGAGCACCATCCCACCGAGGATATGAATCATAAAGAAGGATACTGGCAGCCCACGCAGGTTATCATTCTGACAGCAGCTAAAGATATCCCCATGACCTGTAACAGAGCAAAACGTCACAAATAACAGATTGTAGCACACAAAATGGCATTTATTGTGATTTTTTCTCATCCAAACTAAAGTACCATGGACTGAGGAAATGCATAATTCATTTTAAAATAGGAGTCCTATTTGAAAATCACTTTTTCCACGTCTTTACCTCCAGCTTCATGTTCCTTCTGCTCCACGTCCGTGCCCTCGGCCCCCTGCTGGTTCTCCATTGCTAGCTCATCTTTGTCCAGAAGACGAGGAGTGCCACTTGGGCAACATGGGATCAGCTGCTCCCGATACATCAGGTACAGCACTGCAATGGGCACGGGCAGCTGAGGGCGCACAAAAAATGTTCAGCTTTTTCACTTCTGTCATTTTCAACCATTAACTGAAATATAAGACTAAGACGCTATGAAAACGTGTCCCCCAACACATTTAGTACTGTACATCTGTTCAGTGTCTTACATTTATAAGCGCCATGATCCAGAAGGCATAGTGCACATTGGACTCCTCTGCCCCTCCCTCGTGGGGCAGGTCACTCTGAGTTATGTTGTGCTCTGCAATCGGACTGTTTCTCAGCATGTTCCTGAAATGATGCATGATCTCAGTGCCATTCCCTGTGTGATTCCCACAGCCCGTCTCTGAGAGGAAAGGATCTGCAATCAGTGGGCTCACCAGGGCTCCAAACCCAATGAAGAAATGAAGAGCCTGCAAAAATGTACAAGACAAAGGCCAGACACATGACTTTCTGTGTTTTTTGACAATGTAATCGGCTCATAACTTGACAAAAACGTTGGACACACTGTATTGAAAGTTCTTATTAAATTGCTATATTTGCGTAAAAATACAAATTGAACACTCCTGATGTTCTCAAAATTATATAATATAATATCTGAAACATAAATCCTATCATATTAGTATTTCTACAGATAAAGTACAGATACTAAATGCTTTTTTACCTGTAAGAAAACAGCCGAGTCCTTCTGATAGATGGTCACCAGTTGGATGTTAGCGATGGTGTCAATAACGCCCATCGCCAATCCAGACACAGCCATGGCAATGGCAAGCAGGAGAACATTATTGCACAGTGGGATGATGGCAAATATTATAGAAATGACGAGCGCAGACACAAATAAGGCAGCTAGAGCACTGAACAACCTTTAAGAAAGAAAAGAGACAAAACTGTTACAGTGACATTATTTATACTAAACACCTGCACAGCAGAGTGGGATTAACACTGATGTAAATTCATGATACTTACGTCCTCTTGAAAACACCACCAACTGAGCTGCCAATCAACAAGCAAAACTGCTGCGAAAAGAATACCCAGGTAATCTGACTAAGTGTTGAGTTTGTTTGACATTGCAAGTCCAAAATTGTAGGTCCAAGGAAAGCAATGCAGAGTCCAAAGCTAAAGAAAACACTCCAGTAGGTCAGTGTGTGATGGGCATTCCTTTTGAACAGAGTTACAATCCGCTCATCCACAAACATCTTGGCCACAATAAAGATAGATGCACTGTACCTCAGTGAAACAGACTGTCAAGGATTTATACTACCAAGTACTGCGATGTCAATATGTGAAAGCAGCTCTCTGAATTTCCGTGGATGCTTGTTGTAGTATAACGAGTTTCTTGATCTCTTTTAAAGCTTTTACCTCCCTCCTCCTTGGATTGCTTAACTGAAAAGGATGTCCACTTGAGTTAATGGGTGAAGTGGAGATTCTTCCAACAATAATATGACCATTTGAATTGTGTCAATGATTAGCAATGAAAAAGAGACGGTGTTGAAATGCTACCAAGTGTGCATATATGTGTCATGGCACTTCCAGCCCTATCAATGGAAAATGTGTCAATGAGGATGCAGGTTGTCTTTTCTTTCAATCCTGGAAAACCCTGCAGCAATAAAGATGGCATAATCTGCTATAAAATGTCATTAAAATATAGATACAAATATAAATTATATATATATATATTTATTTAGAATTGTACTATATGACAAGTTAGGTGTCAACTGTGACATAAATATAATGTATACCTCTTTCTTCTCATGCAGTCTTATTCCAGCTCTGTGTATATTACTTTATTATAAATCTTGCAATATGTGTTTGTTTTTCATCAGCAATAAATCTAATGTTTTGATTCTTATTAAAGAACTTTATAGAGTATATCACTGCTAAAAAAAATATCTAGTGTCCAGAACATTACATGTGCCAACAATGTGTCTAATTCTTTATTCTTATTTTTTACCCACTGTAGCAATGTGGCTTTGTGGATAACAATGCTGGTCTGTCACTCAGGCAACTTCTTTGGACCAGACTGAAATCTCTATCAGATGGATTGCCATGAATTCTTATACAGACATTCATTCTCCCCAGAAAAAGAATCCTACAAGGAGCCCCTATCAGATCAAAGTTTTCACGTACCCTGTGAAATATTTCAACATCTACCAGATGGATTGGAATGATTCATTTTGTACAGACATTCATGGTTACCAAACTGACTTTGGTGATCTAACTTTCCCTTTAGCACTACCATGAGGTTGACATTTTGGTTTGTGTCTCAACAACTGTTGGATGGATTACCACAAAATTTGGTATAGAAATTCATGCCACCCATAGGATGGATTGTAACATATTTGGTGATCCTCTGACCTTTCATAAAGTGCCACCTTCACATCAAAATTCCAATTTCAGTAAGTTTATGACCAAATGCCTGCAAAGCTTATGACATTTCTATCCGCCTCAGCTGCACTTTGTGTTTACCTTTAATTAGAAAATGTTAGCACGTTTGAATGGCTGTTAACTTTGCTTGCAATATTATTACAATGTTTAGCTTGACCCAGTTTGAGAATGGATGTCAAACGGCCAAGAAACAGACAGATGCTCAAGTCTACTGCATGATTCAGATATTTTAGATTTTGGATCTAAACCTTTCTTTGGTTTTAAAAATGTGTATTCTATAGTGAATAATAGTGAGTAATGTGTTGGTATGAATAAAAGTAAGGACTTAAAACCAGATCCCTTTAATGATTAGCCTACATGGGAGAAGCAAAGCTCTACTGGCTGTTGCCATATATGGGCTTCTGGCGAGGTCGGAAATTGGACATGTAAGACATCAATCATCACAAGAAGTCCATAAAAGA